TGGACTCTCTCCAGCAGTTCCCTGTCCTTCCTGAACTGTGGGGACCAGAACTGGACACAATATTCCAGATGTGGCCTCAATTTCTTGTGACATTTATTTTATTTAGTGTATTGACGCTAAATAAACACACCCAGGCACCACTGCCTGGTCACCTCATGGTCACCCACGCTTGGCCACATCCTGTGCCCACTGTCACCTGCTCCCCAGGGGCTGGCTGGGGGGTGGATGTGACCCACGGTCGTTGTGCCGTAGGTAGCCCGTGAGCACCGCCAGCTCCGTGCCGTGTTCATTATGAATGAGCCCGGGGTAACTTTACTCCACTTTTGGCTACTACTGCGGCCACCTGATCCCCTAAGCAAGGGTAGGAACCCGCTGGCGTTTGTTTTACCCGGCAGCCGGGAAGCGGGACCCGCAGCACTGGGTTCTCCTTCCCGCTCCGCAGCTGGAGCTGAGCATCAGCTGCTCCCGCTGCCCCACAGCCCCCACCCATGGGTGCTCCGGTGACACCCTCAGCAAACCCCATGGTGTGGGTTGAATGGGGTTTGCTGAGGGTGAGGATGAGCCCCCTCCCAGCAAACCCAGATGGATCCAAGCTCTGGAGCATGGCGCTGAGGTGGCCTGGACCAGCTCTGTCCTTGCGGGTCTCTGCCAGCCACAAGACATCCCACAGAATCTGTCCCATCTATGGAGACCCCATGTCCCCTCCAGTGACAACCAGGACCCCGCTGTCCCCATCCAGCCTGGGCAGAGCTGAGCAGAGCAGGGCTGTTTATTAATAGCTCGTTACTCCGTTACTCCGGGGCTCGCCTGCTCCCCGGGGAACGAGGCCAATTAAGACTCCAGTTGAAGGCCCAGATAGAGGCTCCGCCTGGCATCTCTGTTAGTTTTTAAAATAACACGTGCAGGGCTGGGGAACAGAGCCGGGAAAGGCTGAGGAGCTGTGGCACGGTGAGGGGAAGCCAAGCAAGCCACCTTTGGCCACTTCTAAGCCTCCCAGGAGCAGCCCCATCCTTCCATCCCTCCACATGTGTGGCCACTGAGCCCGTTTTGTCCCAGCCACCACCAGCTTCCTGGTAGGGAGAGGAGGAACCAGCGCTCCCCGACCACCCGGCTCTCGGATGTTCAGCCGCTGGCCAGCCCTGCTTGCAGGTGGGTTTTTGCTCCCTCACACCATCCCTTCTTAGAGAAAAGGAGGTGGCAAGATCCCTTCCAACCCCTTCGAATGGCTCCTGCTTTGGTGGCACACGCTCGGCACCGTCAGCTCCTCCAAGAGCAATTGCTCCTCAGCTGCCATTTCCCCCTTTTTCTGAACAAAGACCCCAAAAGAAGCCCAGGTAACATTTCCAGGTTCCTCTGTTTTGACATAGCACAAGTACAAATCCTTCAGTCAAAGCAACATCTTGTTTGATTCTTCCATTGACTTTTAGGATGCAAAATGGTTCTTCTGATGAGACCTTCTCCTTTGAGAACCCCACAGCTGCTGCTCAAGGCCAAGCCCGTGTTCTGCCTGGGGAGGCCGGGAGCAACCAGGGGAGGTTCTGTGCTCGGGATACAGGATGCTGCTCCACCTTTCCAGGGGATGCAGGAGACCCCAGGGGAGGGTGGAGACCCTCAGGTAGGAAGTGAGCAAATGAGTGATGCTGAGACCCCCATGCACTTTGGAAAAGCTCTTCCTTAAAACACCGACAGCGGGATAATGTCAGCACCCTTGTCGGGTTTTCCCCCGGCCGACAGCCAACCCCCACACAGCCACTCGTTCACTCTCCCCTGCCTCGGGGAATAGGGGAGAGAATTGGAGGGGTAAAGCTAAGAAGACTTGTAGGGTGAGATAAGAACAATTTAATAAGTGAAATAAAATAAAAATTAAAATACTAATGATAATAATAGTAATAATGGAATATACAAATGAGTGATGCACAGTGCAATTGCTCACCACCTGCTGATTCATGTCCAGGTCAGAGCTGACACAGCAAATTTCCAAACTCAAACGTGATGTCAGGGATTTGAACTGTGTTTTTCCAGCCACCACTGAGTATAGTTGCTGGGGACATTTTCTGGAGGCACGGAAATGAGGACCAAAGGTGACCTGTGCCACTCAGCATCTCCAGGGTTTCTCCTGCCACCACCAAAAAATAAACCTGTGGCTCCTGTGGCTTTATTTTATCCATTGCCTCAAGTCTGCAAAATCAGTGGGTTTGTGGCCACACCGAGCTTTGAAATAGCCCCAGAAAAGATCAGGGGACATGGGGAGGAGGGAGGTGATGGGAAGGAGCTGAAGGGGCATCCCCAGGACCTTCCCTGGTTCCAGGGGTGACACCAGCAGGTTTCTCCCTCTGATTAGGGCAACAGAAACAACCCAGTTTATTCTGGGGAGTGGAGGAGATGAAATCAGAGCTGAGGCACAAACAAAGAGGCAGAAAACTCAGAGGGTCAGAGGAGGCCAGCGATGTCCCCGCGCCTCGCCCCGATGAGGCCGAAGTGATCAGGCAATTAGCAAACCAAGCATGAGAATAATCCAGCTGAAACTGGGAGAGGAGGAGAGAGCTGGGGGCAGGAAGAAAGAAAATCAATCACCAGCCCTAATGGAGAATTTTCTAGCAGAGAGTTATTCCTAATCCCATCGGAGTCTGGCTGGGGAACAAATTCTCCCGGCTCTGCCGCTCTCAGCGCACCCAGGACACAGTTTTTCTGGGTCAGTTCGTTTCCCTGGGCTGGGGCAGGCAGGAGGGCAGAGCTGGAGGAGCCGAGGGGAGAACCGAGCGGCTGGGTGGGCGATGGGCCCCCCAGCAGGCTCCCTACGGTGGGTTCCCCCCCACCATGGTGGCTTGTACCTGCAGGACCTGGTGGCCAGGGGTCTCCAGGGCATCGGGTGGCCAAGTGACTGAAGCCAACAGCCAAGGCAAAGCCCAGCAGCAGCGCTGGGACCTGTGGCCACCGTGTTCCCGACAGCCACCCTTGTGTCACAGAATCACAGAATCACAGAATGTTGGGGATTGGAAGGGACCTCAAAAGATCATCCAGTCCAATCCCCCTGCCAGAGCAGGAACCTCAATGAGATCACACAGGAAGGCGTCCAGGTGGGTCTTGAATGTCTCCAGAGAAGGAGACTCCACACCCTCCCTGGGCAGCCTGTCCCAGGGCTCTGTCACCCTCACTGGAAAGAAGTTTCTTCTCAAGTTGAAGCAGAACCTCCTGTGTTCCAGCTCACACCCATTGCCCCTTGTCCTACCACTGGGCATCACTGAGAAGACGTCCTGCTCAAGGTTGCTCAAACAGAAGCAGCTTTTCCTGATGGCTTGCAGAAATGGAGACAGAAAGTGTGGAAGGAGAGATGTCTGCATGAGGAGACAGGCTCCTGCCAGGCCACTGCAGACAACGTCCCGAAGCGTGGCTGAAAGGGACTGCTTGAAAACCATAAAAACCTTCTACAGAAGGGAGTTATTTTGGTGCCTGGCAGCTGCCACATCTCATGGATCTCCCCCTGCAATACAGCCCCAGGTCTTGGGCCAGCCAAGACGATGCTGGAGCAGCGAGACTGCGCAAGCTTTGAGCAGAGGCAGGATTTACCCTTTCTACCCAGCAAAAGCCACGACTGAGGTCTGCACGGAGCCGTCTCCCCGTCCCATGATCCCATCCTGAGTCCCAGCCGAGTCCTCAACAGCCAAGACCACAGGACTCTCCACTTCCCTC